TCGGCCAAGACTGCCTGACGACGAGCCGTATTCTTTGCCGTGTAGGTGAAGGGTTTCGACGGCGACGCCACTAAGATCATCTAACAAAGCTGGTCAGCAAGCCTTTAGCATTTGAAGAAGAAGGCCACTACTTCTTTAAATATACGTGAGTGCTGCGGGGCATATTGATTCATAAGCTCGACCGTCGGCCTTTGCACTAGCTCAGGAAGTGCTCTCGAGAGCATAAATGAGCCTCACCAGATCAAGTTTCGGAACGTCGTGAGTTGATTCACGTCACTAGAATCAAACCTATACGCTGGACGTGGATCGATCAGGACGCCTGCGTTAAACCTTCCACGGCCAAACATGACTGCAGCATTGACGTGTGGATCCCGATTCAAGATACTCTCTGACAAGCTGTTTAGCAGAGTTGTTTGCCTATGGATCCGATAAAAGAATTACCTAATGGTCCTGGGTTTGTCTTGAATCCGACATGAATATGTTGATCCTGCATTCAAGGAGCTAGGCTCACCTTCTCGCCCGTATTGTGCATTATTTGATCGTCGGTTCGTCCGTGTATCCTCCAGTAACCGGGTTCTGTTGGATGAGGCGACAAGAGATCACTGGTGGCATATCCATCTACACCGTTGACTTGCGTGTTCAAAACGCAGGGGAGCTGATACGGGTGGGCCTACATATCAAAAGAGCTCAGAATGATGGAGGCGTCTGGTTTAAGAAGGAGCGTACAATCATTACGAATTCAAAATGTCCTTGTCCATCTGAAACAAAGTGGGTCTTGATGTGGGATGATATCCGGAAATATTCCCAGTCTTTACCGACGCTCTCTTAGGAGAAGACCCATAGTCAGTCACGCGACCTTGATACCTGACGAGCAATTCGAACGAGCGCTAACGCACTGGGCAAAATGGTACTCATGATGCCGCCTTCAGTGCTGCACACTGTCAGATACACCAATCACGCTTAGCTAGATAAACAGCTTACCACCCGTACAAGATGAAGACGGAAACCCCTTGAGACGAAAGACTGTCACCTGCTTCCTTAGATAGAGGGCCACCGCCATAGAGCTACGCCGAACCAAATCAAGATGTGGCATGGTGGACATCGTTTTAGAAGCTCTTACAATTCCGGCTATCTCTCGGAATGCACAAACTTTGTCCGAATCCTTGGACCATGCCTAGGAAAAATGTCATGAAGCGATTTCATAGCGCGGGTATACCCATACCTCAACAAAACTTGGCACGCAGAAAATGATGTCGCTCTTGGAGTCCAAAGCACCCTTGATAACACTGTCAGGGGTAGGAGCAGTAGCCGGACTTCTTGGCTTGAAAGAAGAGTTCACCAAACCACAAGCAGCCTGCACTATTGTCTTAACAATTGCGTTCATAAGGACAACATTGATCACGAACCGTCCAGGCAGTCTGCATCATCCCCATTCCGTGGAACATGGGCATGGCATGGCAAGACAAGCGTACTCCTGTCAGATCGCGCTCTCCGAAGTCTTCGACATGCATTAGCTACTTGCAAAGAATACGAGGGCCAGCTTACTCACAGGGAATGACTCCCAACTGCAGCATCCTATAATGCGTCCAGATTACGGGCTTGGGGAAAGCCGTAGAACCTGCATATCGGGCGTCGCGGTGGTCAGTAAGGAGGAATCTAACTCACAATTTAGACTACTTGCCAGAGGAATGTAATATGATCGCCGGGTCATCCATATCGGGGCGTTCGAAGGAGAGTGGCTGAAACTCCTCGTCTTCGTTGTAGAGCTCTTCGAAAACGGGAATTTTGGATACATCAGGTTGCGTGCAATTTTCGTCTGCTGCAAACATATCCAAAGATTGTTTTACCAGTTCCTGAAGCGCGCCTTCGCTCCCGACCACAACATGCGAGACTTTGACTTTCGAGAGGAGGTGAGCTATGGCGGAGGGCGAATTTCGCGGGGAGATAAGGAATGCCGCGTAGCCTGCGCGCACTATCCCCATCATGACCGTGAAATATGTAATGGTGTCTATATGCCCATGAGATGATACAGAAAGAATACAAGGAGGAAACCAACCGGAAGCAGCCAGGACTGCGACGACTGCGGGCCCATCCTGGGTTTCATGGCTCCCGACCCGGGGTCGTAAGATGTGGCCTACTCTGTGTATAGCACGGACTGCCAAAGGCCATAGGATTTCATGGTCCACGCCATCCTCATCCGCATAGGCAAAAAGAGGGTGGTTGAGCGTATTGTGGTAGTGCCAATCGTAGATTTCCGGTAGGGTGAGAGATCCATCGAGAGGAGGGGGCCTGAACGTCGGGCTACTGAGGGCCTGGGTAGAAGGCAACGGGGGCAACGGTAGACACTTGTAGTCAACGGCGGACATAGATGGCGACGGGGCTTTGGGATGGCTTCCACTTTACGCAGCACTTGCTAGAAATAACAGGGTGTAGCTAAAGGGGGTCGAAACGCTCGTGAAAACTGAATATCAGAAGGTGCTTCAGAGTTAGTAACAGTGCCTGGATGGAACTTCCACCCATCGGATCCGGTGTTGTGCTAATGAAATTGATATACGTACGGGACGAGGAGTCCCTTGGTCCGGACTATCCTGAATATACAGAGCAGCATTCAGGATATCGCAGCTCGTGGATACCCGACACCTATTGTATGAGCCGCAAGCATCTGTCAAGTCGGAAGTGAGCCCGAGTTGGCCGGGACATGCTCGCCGACCGCGAGGGTCGTCGGCTCACCTGAACAGAGTAGCGGCAACCTCGGGGTCCAAAACGGCCAAGTGTCTCCGCTGATTGAGCTCATGCACCACATGCATCCACTGGCGGAAGGGTGATTCCTAAGTGCTTCCTGTCGTATACAATCAGTGACTAGCGAAGATACGAACACGATATTCACTCGGGTCGCGATCAAGGACCATGTCTATCGGCGAAATGATTCAGTTTATGAATTATTCGTTCGAACATATTCGATTAGGAACTGACAAGGTTCATCCGCAGGTGTGCCCGCGGGTAAGGAGAGAGTATAACTTGATGAGTTCAGGATAGCCATAAGTAGAGGCGAGGATTGAATATTGAATCTTCCCGGGAAATGTGGACGAGGACGTTTCCCATGCATGACCGCAGCCATTCCAGGACATTATCGTGCATAACTAGAGGTTCGTGCATATGCAGAAATGCTCGCTGGGCTGATCAAAACCCGACATATGCAATTGCGGACTCCTCTGCGTTCGCGGGAGACGCGGCAGGCTGACCCTCGCGGTATTCCATTACAAGATACAGAGACGCGCGGAGTTGCCAGGGTAAATACCACACAGTTGCAAGCGTTACGTGTAACTTCAACTTGGAGCTTTGAAGTCAATCGTACTTGCAACGAAAGGACAGGAGGAAACGAAAGGACAGGAGGAAAGGACAGGCCACGTTGCTGACGTAAGCAGACGCGCTCTCAATCCGCCACCTGATTTGCCTTCCGCCACAACCAAGCCACAACCCCGTCTTGCTCTTGTTCGTGACTTGAAAGATGGTCGGTCCTTCGTTCAGGTTCTCGCTTCAGTATAAGTTCTTATCTGCGTTCCTAGGCTCGTAATGAAGAGAAGGCGCAGTCTATGCTCTACCGCTTCCGGGAAGCCCAAGCCGCTGAGCTTGGGCTGGGGACGCGCGCGGACCGCCGCCCACGAATGGCCAGTTCGTGCAAGAGTTTGAGGGAATGTGAGCGCTGGAGAGGCGAGATTCTAAGGGAAATTAGCAGGAAGGTCAGCAAAATCCAGGACTGTGCGTAATTTGCAGTGTGCTGGTGTGGAAGGTGCTCCAATGCGTATGCTTTGCAGCGGGTCTGACGGACTATGAGGTCCGCGATTTGAACGACGAAATCAACAAGCTCATGCGGGAGAAGCGGCATTGGGAGAACCAGATTGTTGCGCTCGGCGGTGCGAATTATCGGAGGAATGTGCCTATGATGGATGAAGACGGGAAAGAGGTCCCGGGGACGAAGGGATACAAGTGAGTGCTGCGATCGATGCATGTTGCTTTAGACTACAGAGTGGGATTGACTAGAGAACGTGAATGCTAAATGCGATGCAGGTACTTTGGCCGAGCGAAGGACTTGCCTGGTGTCCGAGAACTGTTCCAATCGAAGAAGACGGAGGAGGATGAAGAGAACCAGGTGCGTGTTTTATACCTTAACATGTAGCAGCTGTGCTTACTGAAAATGTCTTGTTACTCAGGTCCAAAGCTTCTACAAGCGATTTACGAACCAAGGCCCGGCCTACTACGGCGACCTGGACGAAGTAGACGGGACACTACTTAAAGAGGAGCAGCAAAGAGAACAAGAAGGTCCGTCTTCTCTTCACACATATCATTTTCCTTTTATCTGACGTGTCCGTCACCCTATTTTGCGTTGTATTCACTGCTGTTGCTCGTTCGCCTCGGCCCGTCTGCGCTGCTACACTAATCCCACCACAATCTGTCTATGTATGCTGTGCTTCCAGAGTGGGAAGAAGCATACCTCAACCTGCGCGGCACCCTCGGCCTGCCCACCGACGACCCCATCCCTCCGCTTCCCCTCCCCAATCCAAAAACTGCCTCCATCAACATCACCGATTCTGACGAGTCGCCACCAGCGAGTGGCACGAAGCGGAAAGAGCCGGAAGCACGAGAGGATATCGAGATGGCGGACGGGAAGCGCAGCAAGACAGATGGAGCCACGGCGGAGAAATCTGACTCTGACGATAGAACGCAGCTGGAGACGATGGCAAAGGCTGCGGTCTCGTATATTCCGTTCCTTAGTCCGGAGCACTTACTCCCGCCGAAGATTCCCGGGAGAGAGGAGATGGAGAAGATTTTGCTGGATGTCAGGAAGAGGGCTGTGATGGAGGAATACTTTGGATGAGTTGGTTGAGATGTCTTCGTCCACCCCGTGAACAGACGGCCAGGCGGCGTATAAAATTGTTGATGCAAAATAATATGGTAATCTGACCTCTTTCCACGAAGGCAAAAGGAGAATGATCGTATGAGGGCTCCGCCGGGGTTCGAACCCGGGGTCACCTGCAAATATGGATTCCCAAAGCAGGTATCTTACCACTAGACCACGGAGCCTTCCCTAAGGTGCGCATAGCTCATTATTCAACTACATCAAGCCTCATCAAAATCTCCCGTGGACGTTCATGGTCATTTGAAGTTGACTGCCAACCAGTAACTGCTACCGTAGCTGCACCTCTGAAGAGTCTGACCACTTTCCTTTCCGAACGTCTTGGCGCACTTTAGGACGTGTTGCTTGTGGCAGCATATACTTGGAAGTTAACAGTAGTGCTCCAATTGAATGAGTGCGTCGCCGTTCCCTGCGGCGATACTTCTGCGGAGGTTCCCATCCTTTAGGTTGAGACCAAGTCGCTGACAAGCCTGATGGGCTGCGCGTTCCTGCTCCGAGAGCTGCTTTCATTCGGGAGTACTTGGGGGCAGTTGGAGCTGGACTGGATCGGATCATTCAGATTCAGAATCCATCCGGCTTACGATGTTTCAAACTACCCAATCAGGGAGTGGCAGTGTACGATTGACCTGTCGGGGGCTTTATGGCGGTGATATGGGAAGAAATCTACGGTTGTGTGCACAAATCTATCCATGTGTCGATTTGTGCTAATCCTGCAACCTAGTTAACGCTTTGTGTCGCTGAGGCAGGAAGACTGGATAGGGCGAAGATAGACGCAGCATTGTGTCCATGAAGTAGGTAGGCTTGCAGGTTCAGGGCGCGTGAGCAGAGCGGATATCTGCTTGTGCCGGCGAGTCTGGGGAAAATACACGGTCATTGTCAGCTGGACTACCTGGGCCGGAAGCGATTCATCTTGAACATGCATGGCAGACAATGCTCTGATGTACCATGACTGCATTGGTGAGTGCTCTGTATAGCCTGGTCAAGTCTAAGCTGACGAACCTTCTTGAGGTGGCTGCGTACTTTGTTGTCGGAAGCGAACCCAGGTTTGAATGCGGCTGAGTCTTTGATAGCAGACAATGGACGCTACCACGGATGCTCTGCTTTGTGCGCATTATCCAGCCACATAAGTCATGGCCGCAGCCCTTTACATGGTCTTATGAGTAGGCATTATCAATATGCACTGGTCGTTTGGCATGTGGATCCTATACGAGCACAGGCCTGTGATTCACTGCCTTGCGTACCCTAGACGGTACGCTGGAGCAGCAGCTGTCTGCAGCAAAGGTAACACTCGGGTTCATCTTTCATATCCCTGCTGCATGCTGACTTGTGTTTCTACACTCAAGCTGTTCGGCACTCGGTTCCGTAGGCCTGTGTTCCGCGATGGCGGTGCATGGGAACATCTCACCGGACATCTCACCGGACCCTGGTTGTGGCTGTGCAAGTCAACAGGCCTTTTTGTTTGGCCACGTGCGTGCTCATTGTGGGCGCAAAGACAATAAGCACGCTGCGAGACAATGAAAGCAAAGTGCGCACCCATGCAATTGTCAAAAGGATGTCTCGCTCGCGGGGATCCTCTTGGAACCCCCCACCTCTCTTTGCTTACGACCTTTCACGATGCGCCGGCCAGCTGGCCTCGCTGTGGACACCGCTGCCGCGGTCGAGAAAACGAATCCTAATGCCGACGCTGTAATCCTTGTACAATCACCTGTAGCATCCACGAACACCCTCAATGTCACCTCTACACTCACTGTCAACACATTTCACTCCCCAGACCCTCCTGCCTACGTGCCTCCCACTCCTTCTATCCGCCTCCTTTTCTCCCTCCTCACCCGTCGTGACCTCTTCGTCTTCGTCTTACCCGCCATCCTTCTATCCGCCATCACCGGTGGTATCGCCCCATTCATGACCATTGTCATCGGACAAAGCTTCAACGCTTTTGCTGCGTTCCCTCAGACACCCAACCCACCCGAATCCGCAAAACACGATCTACTCAAAGCCGTGGGTCTGGCCGCCATCGAATTAGTTGGCCTAGCCGCTGGTGCCCTCGCACTTAGCAGTATCACGTCAAGTCTGTGGATATGGGCTGGCGAAAGGAATGCGATGAGCCTGCGCAAGCGGGTCTACAACGCTATCACGCGGAAGGAGATGATTTGGTTCGATACGAAGATGGGTGGCGAAGGGTCTGTTCAGGACGGAGAGGAAAGTCAAGGTCCAGTGGGTGCTGGTGGTCTCATGGCTCAATTTGCCAAGTGCGTATATCGATTCAGATTTGTTCAGTTACTGACTGCTAGGCAGGGAAACCGATGAGGTCCGGATGGCGTCCTCTCTCGCCTCCGGCATGTTTATCCAACATCTTACGACGACTGTGACTGCGCTTATCCTCGCATTCACCCACTCCTGGTCTCTCACACTCGTCATTCTCTCTGCGGTGCCCGTCCTTGTCCTCATCCAAGGCGTGGTCACCGGACTGGTGAACCCAAACCTGAACGAGGAGCGCCACCAGACGACCATCGCAGCAACATTGGTCGACCGCGCTGTGGCTGCTATTGCGACTGTCAAGGCTTTCAACGCTCAGCAGTTCGAAGCTGATGCTATTGGCACAGTACTCGACCGGATGCGCGCCGCAGCGAAGCGGTGCAACTCCCTCTGGGCAGTCTCCTCTGGTCTCTCCCAGTTCACAATGATGGCGATGTTCGTCCAGGGCTTTTGGTTCGGCGGGAAGCTGGTCCGTGACGGCTCTGCGAGCGCGGGCGACGTGATGACTGTCTTTTGGGCTTGTCTAATCTCGACTAGCAACCTGCAGATGTGCCTGCCGCAGCTTGTGGTCCTCACCAAAGGCAAAGTCGCGATGGCCTCGCTCCTCCGCCTTGTTGAAGAGCCAGTCGAGGCCCCAGTGCTCGTCAACTCTGCTTCGACCCTGTATACACCTCTCTCCACTGGGGTTAAGCTCAGTAAGAATGCGGCGACTTTGCGGCGTATCACTCCACCACGGTGCGAGGGCGAGTTCGTGTTGCATGACGTGACTTTCGCTTACCCCTCGCGGCCGAGCGTCGCCGTCCTCAAAGACGTCTCGCTTTATCTCCCCGCTGGCGAGACGACGTTCATCGTGGGCGGCTCTGGTTCGGGCAAGTCCACCATCGCACAGCTGCTCCTCCGGATGTACTTGCCCCAGCACGGAAGCGTGCAGCTCGATGACCAGGAGCTTGCGTTCCTCGACGACGCGTTCTTGCGGGACCATGTTGCGGCGGTGTCACAGACCTGCATCTTGTTTGATGCGACTGTGCACGAGAACGTTGCGATGGGGCTGGTGGGGAGGCGCCCGGAGGAGGTGAGCCGGGAGGAAGTAGTGGAGGCCTGTCGGGCGGCGTTGATGCACGAGTTCGTGAGGGACTTGCCCGGCGGCTATGATACCCGCTTGGGGAACGGAGGTGCGAATTTGAGTGGCGGGCAGAAGCAGAGGCTGGCTATTGCTAGGGCCCGTCTGAGAAATCCGTCTATCCTTATTCTGGGTAAGCTCTCATATTAGTTCTATCGAGCGGTGACTAAACATGAGTTTGTGTAGACGAAGCGACGTCTGCGCTGGACGCGACTTCACGCTTATTAGTATTTGAAGCGATAAAACGATGGAGACAGAACAAGACCACGATCGTGATCACACACGACCTGTCGCAGATCGAGTCCGAGGACTTTGTGTACGTGCTCAAGCACGGACGCGTCGTCGAGCAGGGCTACCGCGGTGATCTCGAGGCCACCCCCGGCGGCGAGTTCCAAGAAATGGCAGAGGCCCAGGGCGCGATGGGCGGCTTGCCTGAGAAGGATACCGAGGCCGGTGATAGGGAGCGCGAGATGGAGGTGGAGGCGATTCTGGAGCAGCATGAGGCGCGGAAGGACGTCTTTGTGGAGGACTCGAAGGTGTTGAAGCATATGAGCGCTGCGAAGCCCAGCCTGCGTCCGGTCACTATGGGGAATTGGATGTTCGACGCTATTGCGGATCTGACCAAGGGGTCGGTGACAGAGCCTACCAAGGCCTCTGTTGCTGCGAGGGATACGTACCGAGTGAGTCGGTTCGTGCCACCCGAGGCATTCAGCCAGGAGATGGTGGAGGACCGCCCTCGCAGACCGTCGAGTTTAATCTTCCTGCCGGACCTCGTTCCTCCTCCCGCGGCGCTCAGTCGCAAACTCAGTCTACAGTTCACTCCGACCTCGCCGTCGTTCAAGCGGTCGTCGTGGGTTGAGATCGATGAAGATTTTGAGGAGGAGAAGGAAGCTCTGGAGAGGAGTGGAACGCAGGCTCACCAGAAGCGTGAGAAGCACGGTGAAGGCAGACTCAGGGCAAGGTGGGACGACGAGAAACTGGCTGAGCTCAAGTCTATCAAGGTCGAGCGACCCACTCCGGAACAGACAGACTCCAAAGTGTCTCCCGCGTCAGAGAGACACATGTCTTTGTTCCAAACGATCCGTGCAATCTACCCGTCTATCCCCTACAAGCCCATCTTCTTCCTTGGCGTCCTTGTTTCTCTCATCAGCGGCGCGATGACTCCGATCTTCTCATTCCTCCTTTCTCGTTTGCTCTACGAGGTGTCCATCGGAGCACAGAACATATCGACTATCAACCTCTTTGGCGGCATCGTTCTCAGTATTGCTGCGGCCGACGGTCTCTTCATGGGCCTCAAGTTCTTCATCATGGAGACGCTCGCCATGAGCTGGGTCACGTCGATCAGGAAGGTCTGCCTCCGACTCGTTTTGAACCAGGATAAGAAATGGTTCGACAAGACGGACAATAGCTCTGTCCGTCTCATGAGCATCTTGATCAAGGACGGTGACGATGCTCGAAGTCTGATTGCCACGGTCATCGCTCAGTGCATGGTGGTCACTTCTATGCTCAGCGTCGGCTTGATCTGGGCGCTTGCACGAGGATGGCAGTATACCCTGGTTGGTCTCGGACTCGCGCCTGTATTCGTCATCACCATGGCCATTCAGACGAACCTCGTAGCCAAAGCTGAATACAGGAACAAGCGTGCTCGAGAAGATGTGGCAAAGACCTACTATGACGTGAGTTTCCTCTGCTTTTGATCAAGATTCTGTACTAACGCAGTCTGTAGATTATTTCTAATATTCGCGGTATTCGCTCTATGGGTTTCGAGAAAGTATTTCAAGTTCAGTTTGA